TATATTTTAATTTAATAATAATAAAATATTACTTTACTAAAAAAAACTAAAATAAAATTATTTTTTTTAAAAAAAAAGATATTTTAAATATTATTACTATCAATTTATAATATTAAACTTTAAATTATACAAGCAAATTATTCTAGATTTGATAAATAAATATTCTAAATTTTATAAAAATTAAATCAGTAATAATAAAGCTCTTAAAATTCAAAGTTTAGTAATTAAATTTTTTACTATATAATTTTTATATTAATTTTAATCAAATTTTATATAGTAAAATTTAAAAATAATAATTCAAAAAAGTTTATTATTAATAAAATTTTTTTTATAAAAGATATATAATAAAAATTTTTATATATAAATAAATTCCAATATCTAATAACTTAATTAAATAAAATAGAATTAAAATTTTATTTTGAAAAAATAATCTATTAATATTTATATAATATATTAATCTTTTTATATCAGATCATATTATTAATATAATTATAATAAATTTTTAGTTATAATTTTAAATATATTATTTATAGTATATTGAAAAGTTACAGATATATCATATAATTTAAAAAATATTACTTTAAATTTATAAAGATTTTCTTTGAATATAAAAGTAATTTTTTTTATATTGAATAGTTTTATTTAGTGATAGATATTACAATTTCTGATTGACTATTACAATTATATAATACTTATTTATTACTAGTCTTTTACTAAGTTATATTAATTATAATTTAAAATTTACTAATCACAAGTATGTGATACAGTAATTGACATAAATATTTGAAATATTGATCTGATATATAAAACATCATGTAATATTATCAATTTTAAACTAATATGTATATAAAATTAGGATTGTTTTATTTAATAATAAATATAATAATGTAAATATTTTTATTATTAGTTTTGCATCTGTTAACAAAAAATAAAAAAAAATTATCTATTTCCAAGCATAAAGTATAAAAAATGATGATAAATTAGTTTTAGACAAATAATATCCAGAAATCTGTAGAAATTATATGAATAACAGATTTTTTTAAATCTATAGTATATAATATAATCAATCAAATTAAAAAATTATCAAGTATTATATTACTTTCCAGATCTGAAAGATCTCTAATTCTCACAGTTAAATAATATTGCATTCTTGACTGATTAATACAGATTAATAATGTTATTATTACAGCTAAAATGACTAAAAGACTTAAACAAAAAGATTCTAACTTGAAAATTTCTGTTTATATAATTCAATATATCTTAAAAAATCTAATTTGATATTTGTTATCTATTGCAGGTCTTTCTTTTACAGTCCTATCATATTATAACTCATCTTGAATAGACACAGAAATATATCTATCAAAATTAGTCTTATATAATTTTTTCTGATAAAATAACTCTCTAAATATTCAGAAATACTTAGTTAACAAGATATCATCATGAAATATTATGATTATATAAAAATATAATAAAGTATCTCTATAAGATTCATGCTTGAGATACTTTTAGTGCATAAGAACCAATTGTACTTATCTTGTTTACTGAAAACTTTAATGCTAAAAAATATCAAGAAATTCTTAAAATGAATAAATCTTTTTCCTCATATTACTATAGCAAATTATAGATTGTATTTTTAATAGGACAACTCTTCAATTCATAATATAGATAAAATAATTAATTTTTTTATCGCTGTGATATTTAAATTCTTGATTGGTCTTCTTACTTATCAGATATTAATTCCATTGAGAATTTATGGGTCATACTTAAGAGAAAGATGAAAAAAGAGATAAATTTATGATTAATAAAAAAAAAACTTTTAATAATGGAATTTCAAATAATAATACAAATAGAATAGGCAGATTTGAGTAAAGATCTCTTTCTTTAATTAGCAAGAATATGAAGAATCATGTTTTAGCAATAATTGAATAGAAGAGAAAAAAATTGACTATTAAATTTTTGTAAATAATTAGTAGTTATATTTGAGAATGTGCATACAAAATTTTTGCACATGTTAATAATAAAAATAAAATGCCTTATCTATCATAATAAATTCCAGATATTTATGTCAACCACTGTATGTGATATTTATTTGTTATCTCATTAAGAATATCATCATTAATATATCAATAATTAGAGATTAGATCTATAAATAAAAATTAATTTTGCATCTTCAAGATTATTTATTATTTTATTAATTTGAGATAGGAGATAGGCATTCTTCTTGATAATCAATACAAAATCATTTCTTGCTATTTTTCTTAGATTACTACAAAAGAATTATTGAACTTTTGAACTAAAGTTATTAAATTTATACATTATCTTGCCCTCTATGAATTACTTGCCCTTTTATTATACAATTTTCATGTAGATTGGCACAGAAGATCTTTAGAACTCTAGTAATATCCCACTCTTTGTAAATCATTCAGTCTAGCTCTCTGATTCTTCTAAATTGTGTGTAATAATAGCAAACAAAATTATTATAATACTAGCTTCCATCCAATTTTTTAAGCACTATATTGCTTTGAAGTTCGCACTCAAAGAGCTTTGAATTTCTTTAAGCGAAGGATATTCAATTATAGAAGATATTAACACTAGAATGATCTCAAAATCAGAAATAAACAATTATATATATATTTTTTATTAATGGTTAATTAATACACGATCCAGTAAGAGATTTATATATGATATTAATCTCTGACAATTAAAATCGGCAATTAAATAAATAACGTTCTTTAACATTATTAAATAAGTTAAAAAAAATTGTTATTCGACTTTTTCTTGAGGCAAAGTACATTCTTAAATTAACTTAAAGGTACTTTTGGTCAGCGTTCTTAAATAATCCTTTGGTTTTCAAGAAATAATTACATTGTAAGATGGCACCTGATTCATCAAGTGGGATTCTGTCTTTATGGTTCTCTTCGAGTCTAAACCCGGTTCGAAATTGTCTGGGCCAAATTGACTCAAAAGGCCGACTGCAGAGAGCTTTTTTATATGTATCAAATACAGTACATGTATTATGCAGCATAATGCGCATAATATTTGATTATGCGTCCTTCTCTAGCTATTCTATTCGGATTGCCAAATGCTTTTAATAACCAGTTCAGATTTTTTAAAGGCAATACTTACATTTTTTGACCGGCTCGAAAAAGGGAATTATACATATGTTGAAACAGTATCATATATGTAAAATTTGGCACAAATATGCGGAGTTTCAATAATGAATGTGATTGAAAATGCAGTTAAAAGCATTCATCTAAAAAAAATGAAAACTCTGGCTATTAAAGAGTAAAATTTGTATAGATAGTCAATGAGACGTAATGAATTCTTCGTGTATCATTTTTATGAGAGTGTGAATTCGAAACAAAATTTGTCAATATTCGCTAAAAAGATCAATGGCTCAAATTGAAAAAACTACTTCCGGTGTTGCTTGCTTCTCAATAAACAATAGAAAAGATTTTTCTCTATTAAACGTTAAAGTTTGAAAGTCAAAATGCTGCTTGTGTATTATGTAAATTAATGCATACTTTGCACGCAATCATTTTTAAAAATAACTGCATCTAAATAACTTGTGCTATGAAAGTTCACATCTAAAAAGAAAAGCCACAGTTTGTGATGCTTTGATATATGTACAAAGTTTGTCTTGCGTTCTACTTACATGTATATACACGTATGCATATGAATAACGATAACGATAAACGTTGTGTCAATTATCGATTACACTACATCAATTATACATGTGCAATTTAGCATTAATTTTAGAGAAGTACATGTACGAATCATCATTTTAAATCTGTCGAGGCGTTAAATCAAAACGCCAAAACCAAGTTTTCAAGTTATCTTTGTGACTTTAAAGGAAATATAGTCACCCAAGGGAGTATTCATAGACTTTTCTTGGCAAAGGAAATAATTCACTGCCCGTTTTTCCGTGTGAGAGAGATGCCTCTATTTGTAAATGAATAAACTTTGTCATTCAAACTTTATAACAAAAGAAAACTACATTTAGTTAGATTCAAACTTTAAAACAAAAGAAAAATTACATTTAGTTAGATTCATTAAGAAAATAGAAAATTGTATGTCAGAGCATACCATTATTGTGTTCATAAATATTTTTCTAAAGAAATTAAAAAAAATCACATAAAAATAGAATTAAATTCCAAATTGATATTTGCATCCTTGATTAGTTAAATTACTTATTACTTAAGTGGTTAAATTACTTATTACTTGAGTTGTCGAATGGCGTTAAATTGTCTGTTTAACAATAGTTTAATCACAAGGATCACAAAAAAGGGGAAATTACATTTAACAAAATGGGTATTCTCAAATTTAGAAATTTTCATTATGACAATTTAAAAATTAAAAAACGATCGATAATGATCAAACACTGTTCTATTGTTGGGAATTATGGTTACACGTATGATCGGAGTATCAAATACATATCAAATGCATATCACATGTTACGAATTACATGAACAGCGCGAGTAAATGTTGATTGGATTGAATGACATCATTTACTTTTGTGCAAATTAACAAAAATAACGGTAACACTTCCCAAGGAAGGAAATAAAAAAAACTACACCACAAAAACAAAAATTTCACAATTATATTGTTGAAATTTTGTTTGAATTTGTGCAATAATAATATTTTCAAATTCGTACAAAAATTCACACGTAATTAGATAATTTCACTAAAAATTAACTAAATTAAGGATTTTTTCGCGACCGCGCCCCAGCTGCAAAATGTACTCCCAATATTCATGCTTTGTAGCTTTGTATTGGTTACGTCCGCGTAATGCGCGACTAACATATTCAATCATTAAGAAAGGCTCAGTCGCTTCTTATAAAAGGACATGGTGTCTTGAAGTCTGCAATTCCTCATCGAAATCTTTTACTCGATATAAAAAGATATTTACTCCTTAAAGCTTGCCCTTTGCTAACGAATTCTTTTTTCTTTACGATCAAATATAAATTCAATTTATAATTTATTCACAAACAATATTATAAATGGCTGGCAAATTTGCTGCTTTAACTTATGCTTCTCTTCTTTCTCTGGCGCTTGTTTCCGCTACTCCACTCCAGCAACGTGATGGTTCCTTTAATGGAAATGGTAACGGAAATGGTAATGTTGGCAGCTTTAACGGCAATGGTAATGGAAACTGGAACGATGGCTCCTTCAATGGAAATGGCAACGGAAATTTCAACTGGGGTTGGTATAACGGAAATGGCAACGGAAACGGCAATTACAA